CCCCAAAACCCCAAAACCCCAAAACCCCAAAACCCCTTATTTAACATTCCTAATTGAAATATCATAATTTAAAGAATTAAGATGGCTGCCATTTTGTCAGAGAGGTTCCAGATTAGAATAATCTGAGTAGGGCCAAAGAAATCAGGTAAAACTTCGTTTATAAAAAGATATGTAAGCAATTTATAATCCTTAGGTAAATTCCTTTGAAGACTCAAATGCTTCTTCTCAAATTCTAAACAACAGCAGCACAATGAATGAGAAGGCATACTTGAAGATATGAAGGACTAAAGATGGCAAAACCTTAGAGTTGGACATCTGGGACACTTATGAAGATATTGCAAGTCTGTCTTCGCTCTTCTCAAGGAACGCCAAGGGATGATTTATAATTTGAGATCTTAGTGACCCTGGCACTTTTGAAGAAATACCTGAATGGGCTGAAAAAGTGAGAGCAACAAATAATCTGATTGACTTCGATATCCCAATCTTCCTCATTGGAAATAAAAGTGATATCCTTAAAGGTAAAAATAATCTAACAATTAGATGGGGAACTTAAGAAAGCAGAAAAGGTATGCCAGACTATATCAGAAGAGAATAAGTTTGAAGATTACTTCACATGAAGTTCATTGGATAATATTAATATTGCAGAGGCTTTTAAATAAGCTTCTCAAGCATTTGGAAGCCAACAATATGCTTTCAGAATCAAAAGATAATTGAAGCTTGAAGCTCAGTGGGGACACAAAGTTTCATAAGACTCAGGTAAATGAAAAGTGTGGATGAAAATGATAATTTGGTTGGGAATGATGGATCATCATTTTAATAATTTAGATCTAAGATCTTTATTTTGGATTTTGCCATAGTTTTAATACTTCAAAAAACCAGATCTTTTTACACTTGTATGCTATTTAAAATATATAAATGTTATACTTTGAGATGCTTCACAGAAAGATCCTTGGGCAATTAACATTTGGTAGTGGATGTACCTTAAATTCCTTTTCAAATTAACACAGAATTAAAAAGATTAGGCATGAATTAGTTTACGAAGCTATATAGCATAATGTTTCAAAAGATTTCATTAAAAACAGTTGCGTTGTGGATTTAAGTTTTGTATTGGTTCAGTCTATTCTGAGCTTTGAATTTGAAGAAGTAATTAAATTAAAACAGCTAGTTAACTTCAGAAAAGCTGAATTGCTTGATGAAATGTTAGTAAGAGTCTTTTATGCAGGTTTCTTCATTTCATCTTAAAAATATGTGAAAGGCTGAATAATATATCTACTTTTGATTTTTGATTTTAGTTTAACTAATTTGTTCTGTCAGATAATCGTGAAGCTATCTTCAAAAAATTAATATTAAAAATTCAATTTGTTTCCAGAAATTTGGGGTTTTGGGGTTTTGGGGTTTTGGGGTTTTGGGG